TATATGTATATACAGGGTGGGGCAAAAGTATCGGACCGGTGAAATATCTCGAAAAATATAAGTTTTACAAAAAACTGTTTCAGATCTTAAAAAGATCTATTGCATTTACTGATTTTAGCAGATTGATCTTGGGTGGTGTTGCCAAGGTAAAAAATCAGCTGTTTTCACGGCTACTCACAATCAGTTGTTTTCACAGCTACTTAAAATCAAAACTGATTGTGAGTAGCCGTGAAAACAACTGATTTTTTACCTTGGCAACACCACCTAAGATCAGTCTGTTAAAATCAGTAAATACAATAGATCTTTTTAAGATCTGAAACAGTTTTTTGTAAAACTTATATTTTTCGAGATATTTCATCCGATACTTTTGCCCCACGCTGTATATACATATACATATATATTGCGGAAGTAAATATTTATTACATATATATATATATATATATGTAAAAATCGATTTTTATTTATTTCGTGAATAAATATCAATGTATCACTTATACTTATAACATACGTCTTACTACTGCGGATGACCATATTTCACTACTTTGACCCTTTATATCTTGGGAAATATTGACTTTTGGGACTTGGTGCAATGATAACTTTTTATCAGCATGGCGAAAACTATAATATAGTGAAATTTCAGCCAATTTGACCGAAAACCATTTTCCATAGGTTTTGTGCGGGGTCCTTTATAGACAATTTATGGACAACTCAAAAAACCCTGAGTATATCTTATTCGCGTTTTATATTCCTCCTTATTGACGTTTAGTCTTGTAAGGTCAACAGCATCGATCACTCACCAATCGACGACTTTTCTCTGTTGCAGGACATGTCCGACGTATGCGTTGGGACCAGCGTGGGGACCATTACAGAGCCGGAGTGTTTGGGGCCATGCGAGCCCGGCACCTCCGTCACCCTCGAGGGTATCGTTTGGCATGAGACTGAAGGAGGTGAGGACCTATTACGGCTTAATTCGCCCATTTGCCTTCGCGGACTCCGCGCGTCCCACATCTTTCTCACTCTCTTCCTCGTTAACTCCTTGGCTGCCTCTTGGTTTAAGGGGCTTTGAGGAGAATTATGGACAGTGAGATCGATCACCTGCAACAAAAAAGAGAGATCGACTTGAATCAGCAGGGAGATTGAACCATACATTTAACGATATTCTCCTTAATCGGTAACCTTCCTCTTTCCTCCCATCGTCGACTCGCGTCCGTCTTTATTCTGTACAATGAGAATCCCTCGCGGAACGGCCTAATTGATGCCGATTATCGAGTCTCAGCGCACCTCGCGACACATTCAGCATAATGCCGCGGGATATCGCGCGCGATCGCTCCCCTCAAGCTCCTTTTCAACGAATGTTGAAGTAACGAGCCATTCATTTTTAACGGCTCGTTGAGAATACAGACAGGACTGAATTGTCAGCGTGAACGGACGTCGATGAAATAAGAATAATCGTGCTTAAATGCCGTTAACGACTCCTCTCTCTCCTCTTCCTTTCCCCTCCTTTTTCTCGCTTCCTCGTCGCGCGTGTTTTGCGGTTACTCGCTCGTCAAATTTGCTCTCACAAAGTTTACCGTGCTGTCGCGCCCCGAGCTGCACGGATAAGAGTCATACGCAGTACTGACTTATTGATTTATCGAATTCCCGCGATCCGCGCCGCCGAATAACCGTAATAACGCTAATGGATCCGCGCCGAGTCGCGTTGTTATTATGGAAATCTGCGTCGAGGGGAACGGCTATGTACACGAGCATCTTCTGTCGTTCAACGAAATCACCGTCACCGCCGCCGCCGCCCACTTGTTTTCCCGGGATATTAAGTAATATCGAGCGTCGTTAGAGTTGTGCCGCGCGAAATTATGTTTGCTTCTAGCGCGTTTCAAGCGCACACTGCAGGAAAGCAAGTATCTAAGAAATATTTATTCGGTCAATATTAATGACATGTTTACTTAAACCTTGATTCTTTTAATTGAATAAACAATTGCTAGGGTTTTAAAAAAATGTACATTTCCTTCTTCGAGACATATTCTATGCTGGTAGACGGAAAAAACAATTCTGTTGGTGCAACCGAATTTTCGGTTGCTCAGGAATCAGACGAGAACTCGGCTGTAAGAACAGAAAAATTCCTTTATGAGGCTTCTGTATAGTCAATTGTTCTCAGTTGCCTCAATCGAGTTCTAATATCGTTGAATGTTCAGACGAATATTTCCGGTCACGATAACAGAAATATTAGTTTTCATAACAGAGATATCGCTTCTGATCACCTAATTTTCAGTTGGTTCCTGTTTGATTGCATCGACTGAAATTTTTTTGCGTGTATAAGTAAATATGTCGTTAGTGCCCACCGAGTAGATATCTCTTTTATTTTTTAAGTATTTTCTCCTTCAGTGCAGAAAAACTCTCGGGTTCCTCGTTCGTGTCACGATGTGTAACGAACAACAATCGGGCGCGAGTTTTCGAAAAAAAAAAAAAATGGAGAGGAATCGCGAGCGTCGTTTGGTAGCTCCGGGCAAATTTGCTGTAAAGCGAACGTGCAACGTGATTTATTCGAGGGCATAAAAAATGAAAGCGCTATTGCTTCGAGTAATATTTTAATGTGAGTCATTACTGTTACCGTTTTGTGCATGTTATCACGCAACGTTTTTCTAACAACATTAGTCGTATTAATTACATTTCGCTGTTCCCTAGGTTCTTTTCGTTCCTTTTTCTTTCACATCAGTACGGATAGCCGCCGAAATTCTTGACGCTGCGAATATTTTTCGCCCGCAGTGACGGTTTTAATCTTCATACGTTCGCCGAAAACGAGTAGATCGATCTCGACTTATGTAAATTCGCGTGACAAACGTCGCAGATGGAACAAGGGGCAAAGCGAAAAACTCAATAACGCGGCGGATGCATAATGGATTCCACGTTGAATACGGGACGAGACGTTTTTGTAAAAGAGCGAGACCAAGGGAGAAAGAGAGGAGGAAAGGGAGATGGAGAGAGAAAGAGAGAGAGAGAGATTTAAATGGGAGACTAATAGAATAATCCGCGGTTGCCTAGCAGTCGGTAGTAAAAATAGGATCGAGTCTTGTTCTTCGTTTAATCTCGCGCTGGCTCCGTCGTGGGGGAAAGGAGGTAGATGGAAGCAGGAGAATCTGATCGCGATTTAAATTCCGATTTTCCGAGAGTTAATTCCATTTTATTCGGAATTAATAAGTAATCCGCACGGAATTGCTAATTCCGATTGTGTTATACACGGCGGTGCGCCGTCTCTCGCTCTCTCTCTCTCTCTCTCTCGTGCATATACGGCGCGAATAAATAATAGCCAGCCGCCGTCGTGATGGCGGTGGTGGCGACGGCGGCAGCGGCGGTATTGGTCGAATAAAAGTCCGCGTATCGTCTCGTGTCGACTGAAAATAACTAGCGCCGATGATCAATCAATCGTTTGCTCCGGGTAAACATTCGGAGAGAGAGAAAGAGAGAGAGAGAGAGAGAGAGAGAGAGAACTGTAATAGGAATAGCACTCGATCGATCTTGTTGCTGCTGGAACGATTCGGGGGTTATAAATATCCACCCGATACTCTCCGGCGGCGCGAGCGGAAAAGTCGTGGAAAATAAAACTATGTTGCAGAGTTCATCATTTTGCTTGCCGGCGTTGCGCGTGCACACACACATATACACGGCACGCGCGGGCATAATTGTAACGCATTTGATATGATGCGAGGACTCGCGTGAACGTGTTTCATTTTCAAATATTTGTGCAGCGTGTTTTTTCCATGCATTCCCCTCGCCCCTCTTGGCTTATTTATCGTGCTACTTTATTCCTCTTTACGCGGCGTGCATTCCTCTTTATATTTCCGTTTATATTCGATCGTTAATTTATTTAATTTACGACGTTAAACGCAATCCACATTTTGCGCCATAATAACCGCGCGTTGCCTCTCGTCGGCCCTTGATCTGCAAAATTGTTTGCACACTCTGAAAGCCTTGTTTTGTTTCATAGCACTTCATTCATCCCTTCTATGTCGCTCGACGAAGCGAGAGACACAAAGAGAGAGAGAGAGAGAGACATACAGACAGATATAAAAAAGAGAATGAGATGGAAAAAAGGGAACAAACGAAATTATTAAAACTCGCCGCGAGCGTTTATCGTAACATCGCATCGGGACGCTGCACTGTCATGCCGCGGTATTTTTCACCGAGTAACGAGCGAGCGCGATTAGAATAAGCGGCGATGTAAACAGCCGTAATTGGGCCGGCGGCGGACTTATTAAAACCATTTCGACGGTTAAAATAGCGGTAACTCGATAACGATCGCGTTCGCGAAGTAACGCAGATTAATTTATCCGCGGTTTAAGCTTTCATGCTCGTTAGCATATGTGCCGTAAGCTTAACGATCGGCGGCCGCGGCTTTACGACTTGCGCGCGTCGCTAGGCTGAATCGCTAATTCGACCGTTGCGTGCGGAACGCGCTGATAAATATATTTTCAGCATTCCCCACGCGAGAATGTTGAAAACGCGCGCTACATAGCGCTCTCGAGTCTCTGTTCCCAAAGTCCGTGAAGTTGAGAGTCCTCGATTGTGTGTTGTTTCCCGCGGAAAATTGTACTTTTAATTGGCACGTTTTCGCGCGCGCGCGCGCGCGGAAACACTTATTTCTCGCCGCGCGGCTGAAAATGCGCCTTCGATAAGAGGACGCCTCTAATAAATTGTGCAAAACACGAACCGGTTCTCGTGCATAAACTGAGAGCCACCGAGAGCGAATTTTCATGACGACACACGTGATTACGAGTCTGGTACTTATAAATTATCTCAGCACGTAGTAAACTCTTTTATGCTGAATTTTGCAGCGCATGCATACTGAACGTGTTGTGTGTGTGTGTGTGTGTGTGTGTACGTTGGTCTGTAATTACTAAATCGTTTGAAAAATCTGCCGTCGTCCTCTTCAAGCGGCAAACGCGAGCCATTCTGACTTATCGCGATTTATTGAAAGCGTTTCGTACCTTTGACCGAGGCTCGCCGCGGACGGTATATGCTTTTCATCTTCCATAATTTGCCGCGCACTTTGATTGAAGCTCTTTCTTACTTTTTTTTTCGGAGTCACTATACCGCGTAGTCTAAAAGTTCACGACTCTCGTGTTCTTCTTCTTTTTTCTTTATTTTTTTTTCTTTTCGCTCCCTGCATAATAATGCGCCGCGACGTAATGCGATATAATAATGCATCGCGGCGCGACTCGACTCGCACGCGAGATGCGAAGCTGACGTGGAATGAAATTAAAACTAAAGTCCGGGGGAAAAACGCGCGCGCGCGTTCCAGCGGAATAATTCATTTCGCCGCGAGCGGACGAGCGTAATTAATTATAGCTTCGCTCTAATAGATAATCTCCCGCGAGGAGGAAGTTCTCCCTCTCGAGCTATCGTCGCATGCTTCAACGACGATTTCGTCGTAAATACAACCACGGCGATTGGTGAAAATTACAAAGAAGGTCCGCACGCTACGGACGTACACGCGAGCGCATATTTCGCTCGCTCGTTGTCGCTTCGTTTGTATTCGTGACAAAATGCGCGACAAGCGCGCGCGCGTGCGATGCAAACGTGAATGCAAATTTCGCAAACTCGAACGGACGTTTAGACGTGCGTAGCAGAGTGGAATTTTTTCTGCTGAATATTAGAGCATTCGCTATATTCAATGTTCCGCGCTTGCCTTACCCCATTAAATAGATTAATTACTAAATATTTAACCGTCCAACAGACATTAAGAATTTTTCGACCAACTTGTTTTTCAGCTATACTTTTCTCATTACTGTTAATTGCGCGTAAGGAGTTAAAATATAACTGTGGCGATTCAGATGTGTTATATTAAAACAGAACAGCTAATGTTTAAATATTCTGTTTAAATGAAAGAATTTTGATTCAAGTAAACATGTCATTAGCACCTACCGCGAGTAAATATTTTTTTTGTCGTTTC